TTATTTGCATACTGGCTCTAATTGGCTGGTGGGCATGGCTTGTGGGGGGTTGGTTAATTTGCATATTACTCTTTTATTAGGTAGGATTGACTATATTGCCTGTCCTGTACTCTACATCCCCATGACTATTTCCACGCTTAATTTTTATACAAATTTCTTTTATTTTTAGACTGTCTTTATTTTTCTAAGTTTATTTGTTTTTTGTAAACACTTAGAAGGGATTCTGTGTCACTATAAAATCATAAAACTTTTTTATTATGCTATAGTAAGAAGAAAACTGTAAAACAGTAATATGAGGTTCAAGAATCACTGAAATGAACAGACTAAATTCACTTTCTGTTTCCTAAAACAAAGGTAAACATTCAGGAAAAACTTGAAAAGACCATTAGAAATCCATTTTAATACGTGGGGGGCAGGGGGTTTGTTTTGTTTTGTTTTTTAAATATTTTATTGATTTTTTTACAGAGAGGAAGAGAGAGGGATAGAGTTAGAAACCTTGATGAGAGAGAAACACTGACCAGCTTCCTCCAGCACAATCCCTACTGTGGATGTGCCCGCAACCAAGGTACATGCCCTTGATCGGAATCGAAGCCAGGAACCTTCAGTCCACAGGCCGACGCTCTATCCACTGAGCCAAACTGGTTTTGGCTATGTGTGGTTTTTAAGAGTGTAGAAATTGTGGAGATGATAGAACATTCTACCCTCAATACCAAACTAATCAGCTCTGCACTCAAATACTAGGTTCTGGAGCCTGTGAACACCAGAGAAAGATAATGATTTGCTCAGAAGCTTTAAGTGTCCCCACCTCTGAGGATAAGCATTTGAATATAGAAGAAAAAGGGGCAAGGAACATTTTTAAAGAAGGAAGGAAATAAGATAGGTTAAAAAAAAAAAAAAAAAAAAAAAAGACGAATCTCTTTTTAGAGAGAATGGTCCATCCACATTACAGAAAGGATTAAGCAGATACATTCAGCTTTTCTAACAGATTTTCATTCTCTAAGGCTTCGAATACCCCTCTCACACTCACTCAGATAATCACATTAGTTTTGTCATTAAAAGCTCCCTTTTCATTGAATGCACCTAAACCGGCTTAAACCACCCAGAGAGGTCGCATACATTACCAAACACTAAGACAAATGGAAGAGATTTTCCATTTTATGTCTTATTATTTCACAATATCTATCTGCATGCTCAGAAAGCTAAGCTAAAAGATTTGGTAAATTATCAGCTAAAAATTTTTCCAAAATAAACTCCGCTGCACCCTTTAAAACTGCTCTTTAAACTGAGAGGAGAGCTAGTTTTATGCTGACGGAGCAGTCAAGTGACAGAGGGTTTTCTATTTTCCTTTTCTCTTCTTCCTGTTGTCCTATTGGCCAAGTCCATGATTATTTCTGCATAAATATTGCCGCTACTGTTAGCAGTAAACAAAGCAAATAAAATCTAACTGTGCAAAGCCCAAAGACAAATTAAAAAGAGTAATACTTGAGTTCACACAGAAACTTGCTGCCTATGGATCCTTCAGAACTGTACAAGGACCAGACAGAAATGGAAATCCCCTGCTTTTTTCCATAACTCAACTTTTACTTATTATCTCACTATCCTAAGCCTGCATGGGATATAAAACTGAAACTCATAGACACAGACAACAGTATGAGGTAGTTATTAGAGGGAAGGGGGGAGGTGTTAGTAAAGGGTAAAGAGGGCTAAATATATGGAGATGAAAGATTATTTGACTTTGGGTGGTTGGTATAATACATAATGCAATATACAGATAATGTACCATAGAAATGTACACTAGAAATCTATGTAATATTATTAAGCAATGTCACTCCTATGAATTTAATTTAAAAAATGAAATGGAAAAAAGAAAAAAAAAGAAAAGAAAAGGATGGCTGTTTGTCAGCCCTTTAAAAAGGAGGAAGTGTATCAGAGGGAGGAGGAGTCCTGGTTAAATGGAACTATCCAAGTGAAAGAGCCGTCTCCAACTGGGTAATATTCCAGGGATTAGTGGGTTGGGAGGACAGAGAGGGGGGTCAAGAAAGGAGAAATAGGATGAACAGTGAAAGAAAGTATCTAAAACTAAAAGTAGTGGAAAAATTCTGAAATCAGGATGAAACCAAAGACAGATGTAGTCAATCAAAGTTTCTCAGGCAAGAAGCAGAGAGAAGTTTATTTTGGCTGCAATTCAGACAAGAAACAGAATCATAAATGTATCTTAAGCAATCAAAAAATTTCTTACTATGTCAAAAAAAAGAGGATAAAGTCAGTAAAAAATAACTGAAGAAAATTACAAGAACTAGTCCTGCATAAAAATAAATAAATAAAAGGTGATTTGGGACAGACACAAAGTTATCTTGCCCTAAAAAATAAATTTTTATACTGTATATATTCAAAAGATGAAAGGATTGTGCTAAATCAAAAACAGATGACCAAACATTTGAGATACATTCCATTCATTTTGAGTGATTATTTAAGAGAGAGAGAAATGAAATATTTGTTTACATTTAAGATTCAATAGAAAATCTCTCAAAAGGAACATTAGCCCTCTCTGGTTTGGCTTCAGCCTGTGGACTGAAGGGTCCCAGGTTCGATTCCGACCAAGGGCACATGCTCGGAGTTGCCAGCTCGATTCCCAGTAGGGGTGTGCAGGAGGCAGCCAATCAATGATTCTCTTTCATCATTGATATTTCTATCCCTCTCTCCCCTCTCTCTTCCTCTCTGAAATCAATAAAAATAAAATTTAAAAAGGAACATTAAAGAAATGTGGAGAAAACCAGTTAGACTCTTCACTGTTCCAAATCATAAGCAAACGAAAAAACTGTATCTTACCTTTCTTCCTAACTCAGATTGGCAAACTATAGCCTCCAGGCAAAATCCAGCCCAATTCATTTTTTATAAATACTAAGCAATATTGGAGCACAATTATCATAATTCATTTACATATGTCTATGGTTACTTTCTGCTACTTTCTTGCTGCACCTATTTCAAAAACCATATGGCCCACAAAGCCTAAAATATTTATTATCTAGATCTTTACAGATATAACAAGAGAATCCCCCATGTTCTTACCATCTAACAATTAATTTGTTCTTCAGGTGGGTGTAAAGATGCAAATGTAATTCTCACTTTGTATACAGAGTTCAGAATTAAATCTGATAGTTGTCACACTGTGGCCAGCAACCAACCCAAACCTTTAGTCAAGTCTTCTATTCCAGTGCAATGTGCTAGATTAGATCCTAGGTTCTGAACAATGGGAGACTTGAGTTCAAATCCCACATCCACCACCCTCTTTGTTGAGCTTAAATTTCTTCTCCATAAAACTGGGATTATACCTCTTTTTCTCACAGTATCTTTGTGAGGATTAAATGAGACAGTGTATATGAAAGTGCTTTGTAAACAGTGAAATAACGTAAAAGGATAAGGTATTATTACCACATAGACATATATGGAGACTGGTTCAGATTTAGTGTTTCTCATTATTTTGATTTATGAGAGAGATATACTCTTTTAAATAATTTTGTATTATCAAAATTCAGATTAATTCAGTACACATTAACCTCTGGCCTACTAGGTTCAAGACACCCACTGATCACTCCATCTTTTATTCTTTATTTATCATTATTCTACTTCGTAGATAAATATCTCTAATAGCAAATGACTTTGTTTCATTTCAGCTACCAAGTTTTAAGCAAGGAGTGCATTTAATAACTCACAGGGACAGTTATATTAAAAGTGCTTTGAAACCTGGTTCTCATATTATCAATTCTATTCGCATTTCCAGTACTCATTTTGGCTATAGAGTCAGTCATATTCTCTACACTTAATATTCATCAAGTTGGCTGGCCTTTGTTTTTAAAACTAAGAGGAATGTGCTTTACAAATGAATGTTTTAAAAAGAGCACATACAATGATGAATTTTGGTATAAAAGAACCTTAAAATGAATTACACTTTCCAGAGTGTTTTCACATTCATTATTTTATCTGATCATCAGCACAGTCACATGGAGAATGTAAGTACCATTATTCGGTTCTGCAGAGGAAGACATGGAGGCTCAGAAGAAAGCCTTGCCCAAGATCACACAGCTGCTAAGTGGTAGTTCTTGATCAAAGATCCAGTCAGTACTTTTTTTACTACACCTAGCTGCATGTGGATCACCCCTTTATCATGTATGTGTAGCACTTAGAATGCATAAGTAGTTGACTGAATCATAGTGTTATGAGAGCAGCTGCCACATTGACCATCCTATCTAATAAAAGAGTAATATGCAAATTGACCATCACTCTAACACACAAGATGGCTGCTCCCATGTGGTCAAAGATGGTTGCCTCCATGTGGACACAAGATGGCCAACAAAAGATGGCCAGCAGGGGAGAGCAGTTGTGGGGGGACCAGGCCTACAGAGAAGGGTAGTTAGGGACAATCAGGCTGGCAGGGAAGTGGTCAGGGGGTGATCAAGCAGAAGCAGTTAGGGGCAATCAGGCAGGCAAGCAGTTGGGAGCCGGCAGTCCTGGATTGTCGAGGGTGCAGTCTGGGCTGAGGGACACACACACCCATGCACTAACTTCGTGGATGGGCCTCTAGTATATTATATAGCACTATGTGTCTCACATATAGCACAAAGATTAAATAAACTAAATATGTAAAGTATATAAGACTTGACACATAGTAGTTATCCCATTAACAGCAACTATTGGTCTCATTTCTACTTTTTATAACTCTGTAATCTATGCATTTTATCTCCATTATTCATATGAAGAAACTGAGGTTCCAAAAAGTTCAGTCACATGTCCAAAGTTGAGTAACCAGAAAGTGACAGAAGCCAGGATTCCTGCCCAGATTTGACTAACTCCAGAGCCCCTTTGTCACTGAGACTGATACTGTACCTGATACTGGTTCCACTGATACTGTACATCAGAGAACATACACACACACACACACACAAAAAAAATGGAAAAGTATGTTATTGACAATGATTAAGCAAAGGACATTTTCCTGTTACCTTGATTGGCCAAGCAGGCAAATGCTGTAAAAAGCTAGATTCATAAGGGTAGTCCACCATTGCCAGATTTACCCAAGTTTCAGAGATCCAATCTTTCAAATGCTGAACATCCTGAGCATTTTTTAATGGTGTACATAAGTGAAGGGCTTTAGAGAGCCAATCCAAATCAGTACCTGCGAATATTGAAACATAAGAAGCACTGCTCAACATAAGGTTTTATAGATTCTTCACTTGATATTTTTAGAAAACTCAACTTTCAACACCACTTCTCCAAGAATATTTTTCAACATCCATAAAATGTTTTTAGAGTAACTGCATAATCCCAAATAGACAAGTTGTCTATCCTCCGGAGTTTACCAGAACGCATACTTTTAATTAGTCCTTATTTTAAAGATATTATGGAAATAAATTTTAAAAAAATAAGTGGAACACTATAGAGCAATGAAAGGCACAAACTACAATTAAATAAAACAAATGGATGTGTCTGACAAACACAGCAATGACAAAAGACAGCACACAAATAAAAAAAATACATATTATGCAATTCCAATGACTAAAAAATCCAAAAGCAAGCAAAATCAAGTTATGGTTTTAAAGTCAGGATAGTGATAGTGTCTGGAAAGAGCACAAGAAGACTTCTGAAAGGATTTCTTGATTTAGATACTAAATCATACTTGCTTTGTGAAAATTCATTAAGCTATGTATTTTGATTTGTGTGCTTTTCAAAATGTTATATTTAAATATGTATGTTACACTTAAATTAAGTTTCTAAAAAATGTGAAAAATGTTGAATTTAACAAGTGAAAGGCAAAAAAACAACAATGCATTATTTCATTCCCTTAATTAAAGCTTACTGTTTCTTGTGAATCGATTAATGGCACCCCAGGAACTTCGGATGTTCTCTGAACAATTTGGGCAAGTTCTCTTAAAATCCATAGTTACAATTTTCATAAATACTCCACAAGGTACTAAATCTTCAAACTGCCAGATAGGGGCAGAGGCTGCAAGAGCTCTAAATGGTAATAAAATAATGAAAGAGAAAAGAGGGGAAAATGAAACTCATCAAATTCAAGTTTTTGTTAGTTTTGTTTTAATCCTCACCCAAGGACATACTTAGAGAGAGGAAGGGAGACAGACAGAAAAAAGAGAAATATTGATCTGTGATGTTGATTTCCCTATGCTCCCTGACTGGGAATCAAACTCCAAACCTAGGTATGTGCCCTGATCAGGAACTGAACTGGCAACCTTTTGGTGCATGAGAGGATGCTCACCCACCTGAGCCACTCCTGCCAGGCCAAATTCAAGTTTTTAATTTAAAACTGATACTGAACAAAATTAGTAAGAAAAATAATATTTGTAAATGAAATAGAAACTAGGAATCTCAGAACAATAGAATGGTACATGTTTTACCCAAACAAATCTCTAAGTTTGCCTTGACAACCATTAAGAAGTACTTATGTCCAATATAAATGCATTTACCCAGCCACCATATGAGGATATTTCATCCTGAACCAGGCTGCAAGCATGCCACCATAAGAGCCCCCCACGGCTATGAAAGGTTGATTTTCAGCTCCTGGAATTGTCCTTTTTAAGTGTTTGATTAACTCTGCAAAATCAGCTAGAGCTTGTTCCGATGTCAGAAAATTCAAGTGTCTGGGATCCTAAAGAAAAATAACAAAGAACATGGGTATAAATGTGCACATAATAGCAGTTTAGGTATAGCATAGATCCAGTAAAAAGTCAGAGTCAGATAAGCTTTTCTCCAAATAAAATTTCTAAGCAATTGAGTTAAAATGAATAGTCAAAGTCATAGCAATGCTGATGTAAAGTAATTTTAAGTTTGTGGCAAGAACATAATGTATTTGCATTCAAATATAATTTCCATTAAATGCTATATACCAAAGACCTTGTTGAAGTTTTAGAAACAATAGAAATAAACTGCAAATACTATTTAACAATAAATGTGATGGAATACAATACTAAGCTTAAGGCACCTGCAGTATTACAATTATATTTTAAATCTTCAAACATTTACAATAGGCAAAGGTAAACTAAATCCTATGGAAAACTAAAGAATCATTAGTAAAAATAAAACGCATTCTTCTTTTTTTTATTTTTTTAAAAATATATTTTATTGATTTTTTTTACAGAGAGGAAAACAGAGGGAGAGTTAGAAACATCGATGAGAGAGAATCATCGGTCAGCTGCCTCCTGCACACCCCCCCACTGGGGATGTGCCGGCAACCAAGGTACTTGCCCTTGACCAGAATCGAACCCAGGACCTTTCAGTTCACAGGCCAACACTCTATCCATTGAGCCAAACTGGTTTCAGCAAAACACATCCTTCTTTATCAGAAAAATTATTTGGTTTTTTTGTTTGTTTAATGTATTTTTATTTATTTCAGAGAAGAAGGGAGAGGGAGAGGGAGACTAAAACATCAATAATGAGAGAGAATCATTTGATCAGTTGCCTCCTTCATGCCCCCTTCTGGAGATCAAGCCCACAACCTGGGCATGTGCTCTGAACCAGAATTGAACCATGACCTTGTGGTTCATAGATCAATGCTCAACCACTGAGCCACATCAGCCGGGCTGTTTGCTGTTTTGTTAATCCTCACCTGAGGATATTTTTCCATTGCTTTTTAGGGAGAGAGGAAGAGAGTGACACATTGACTGGTTGCCTCCCACACGCACCCCAACCAGGGCAGGGAGTCAACCTGCAACCCAAGTATGTGCCCTTGACTGGAATTGAACCCGAGATCCTTCCATGCATAGGCCAACACTGGCCAGGGCAGAAAAATTATTATTATATCTAATATACCAACAACTGAAACAAATTAGTTTGCCTGATCTAAATAACTATTAAAATTAGAGTTAAAGCCGAAACCGGTTTGGCTCAGTGGATAGAGCATCAGTCTGGGGATTGAAGGGAATCAGGTTCGATTCAGGTCAGGGACATGTGCATTGGTTTCGGGCACATCCCCAGTAGGGGGTATGCGGGAGGTGGCTGGTCGATGTTTCCCTCTCATCAATGTTTCTAGCTCTCTATCCCTCTCCCTTCCTCTCTGTAAAAAATCAATAAAATATTTTTTTTAAATTAGAGTTAAAAAATAATAATTATGGAACAACTATTTTCAGGCATTGGAAAACAGAAACACAAGATCTTAATACCTTAGAAAAGGATATTCATAAAATAAGTGCCATGATCATTTAGCTCTCTGCCTAGTCTTACTGCACTAGGGAAACTAATGAAGTATCTCCCTTTAAAAGCCCTCATACTTTGGACTCACCACTCTGACTCCTTCCATCATTTGGCACATTTGGAGTCACATAGTTCCCTTCTTTCCTATGTTTGTCACCTACTCCTTTAGCCTTCTGTCTTACCTCCCCCCTCATTGCCTGTCACTATTCTTTACGTGTTTTCATGGCATTATACATATTTGTATGACATTTTTTTTCCAATCCTTATATATTTGTAATATCCAAAGGCAATTGACAAATTCTGTGAGCATACAAAAAGAAAATTATTAAAAAGAGCTCTTAGCTCCATTTAATAACCAAGTATGAACCATAGAGTCCTAAGAGAGGAGACTATGTTTTTATCTGCAACAAGCTGACTAATGCCCAATGATTTCAGGAATTCTCAACTTTCATAATCAGATAATTATGCAAAATAATAAGTTAAATAAAGAGTTTCTGATGCAAACCAACAAATATCAACAAATTTTTCTGCTTTTCATTTATAACATGAAGACTTTTTATTTTATTTATAACAAGGTAATAAAACTTCTGAGAACAAAAATAAAATACTCCTTACAAAACAGGCAGCTGAGAAAAATAATTGACCCCAAGTTCTTCTAACTCAGAGTTCCTCAAAAGCATGGTATGTGTATACTGTTGGTATGTATGATGATCTTAGGCATTACACAAACACTTTAAATTTAATACTTGTTTTAATATAATTTAGAAAAAATAACTGGTACATAAAACCCTTGTTAAGTTAGTGTTAACTTTGAAAAGTAAGCTGTTTAAAGAAAAATATGAAATAAAAAAATAGTGCACATGGCAAAATCATATAGCCAGAATCACAGGATATTATTGGGATGACTCAGTTGAGGAAAAAGTGTCCTGGTTTATTAGTCGTAAAGTCTATGGCCAAGACCAAGAACAGGAAAGGCCAAAAGGGAATCCAAGTAGCTAACTAGCCACATTGAATTGTAGAGATTGTTTGTCCTTATTTTACTGAAAAACATCTTATTAAACAAACATTTTAGTTCCCATTATATCTTTTCCAATTGTAGACCCAATAATTTAAGTGCATAATTTGCTGATATTTTTGAAACAATGAAAAGTTCCCCCCACAGTCTCTGGAGCCATAGAGAAAAACTAGCCTCATCACACTAAGTTAAAAACTGATCAACATTAGAAATGATAATATTATGGTTTTAAAGAATCTCAATCTGTTCAAACTGTATATAAAAGTGAAAGATTAAATATAAATTATTGAGTCCTAACTGGTTTGGCTCAGTGGATAGAGTGTCAGCCTGCAGACTCAAGGGTCACAGGTTCGATTCCGGTCAAGGGCATGTACCTTGGTTGTGGGCACCTACCCAGTAGGGAGTGTGCAGGAGGCAGCTGATTGATGTTTCTCTCTCATCGATGTTTCTAACTCTCTGTCCCTCTCCCTTCCTCTCTGTAAAAAATCAATAAAATATATTTTTAAAAATCAATAAAATATTATATATATATAAATATTGAAATTTTAGGCAGTTCAAGTTAAAGCTTTCATTTCTTTCTTATAGTGGTATTGTCATTATAAAATGATCTAAAATTTTTAAAACTTTTAAACTTAAAAGTAAAAAAGCATACTTACCTGGAATGTGTCAGCACCAAAGGGTAGAGACTGTCCATAGTATCTATGTTCAGCAAACACCAACATAGCTTTCAGTTCCTCAGCCACATCCCACATGAACCCCTAGAAAGAATTTACAAATTCAGAGAATAATATCAGGATATGAAAAAAGTGTGATGGCCAATTTGCATATTACTCTTTTATTAGATAGGATAGTCTTGTACTGTGTGCCAAATAATCTAAGAAAGAGCTGAAGATGTTTCAGTTCACAGCCTACTCATTTACAACATAAAAGAGTACAAATAAGCATACTGGATTCATTTGCATTTATATTAACCTTATTTACTTGAAAATAAATAGTAACTAGCAATAGCCAATATTAATTAAATGCTTGCAATGTGTCAGGCACTGTTTTAAACATTTTATATATATCAATTCACTCAATTTGCACAACAATGTAGAGATACGCATTTTGATTATTCCCATTTTACAGACAAGGTCACTAAAGCACAAGAGTTTAAATAACGTGGGTTGCAATATTTGCTTATATGTGTACCTTACCCTACAGGCCTATGAGCTGTTTAAGGGTAAGGGCCATCCATCAAAACAGCCAGACTCTCTGTGGAGTTAACCCCAAGCTTTAATTTAATTGAACTGATTCACACTGTAATAAGTGATTATTCGCCTTAACTTCAGGGATATTTTTATTTTTCAAAAGATGTCTATGTAATATAGCAATATTTAATAAAATTATGTAACAGCATTGTGCTAAGTGTCTGATTCTTATTTAATTTTCACAATTCTACAGACATTATTGTCATATCCATTTAACAGATGAGAAAACTGAGGCTCAGAATAAGAAACTGGCCCAAAGTCACATAAGATAGTGGCAAAATCAAAATTCAAGCCTTATCAGTCTGGCTGAAGTCTTCATTCTTGCCTACCATGATATACTATCTCTCAGTAAATGAATTACCAGACTATGTGAATATGCAACTGGAACATTTTAGTAAGTAAAGGACCCAGAATCTATCTTTCTAGGATCTGGCTCTAGTCAGTTCTCTGGAACTGTTCCTACACTATCTATTCCTTTCTACCACTTCTGAGGTCAGAGAAGGTAAGCCTTCAATTACTGTGCAGTGTCAGTAAGGGTAATGGTGGCTGGGAGAATCTCACTGTCCTGTGGCCTTGGCGTAAAAGGGAAGTCACACAGGAAAAAGAAAGGGATACAAGGCAGATTTGGTTGTTTCACAGAAAACCAGAGCAGGAATCTGATAGAAACTAAGTTCTGATTTCATTTGTCTCCGATCTAAGAGAAACAGGCATCCTAGAATCTCATTTCTCAGAGAATTATTTTATTTTCAAGTAACATATTTATACCCTTAACATTCATAAGGAAATAATCATAAATTTGGTATGCAAATAACAATGATTGGGTTCATACCTTTGCTTTCAATTCAGTTCAGTTCAACATTTACTGAGACCTCCTGAATACCAGGCACCATGTCAGACAACAGCAGTGAAGAAACATGATTTTGTCCCCACTTTAAGGTAATTCACAGATTAGGTTTGGGGTAGAAAGTTGACATTATCTTGTCATAGCTCTGGCACATTATAAAGGAAAATTTCATGTGTCCTACATTAAGTTTTGTTAATGGACTTAAGTTTTATTATAAAAGACAATGTAAAACATACAAAGGAAAGCAAGCTAACAACTATACCATTTTGACCCTTATAAACATAAGAAAAATGATAAAACAGTGAAGCTAAATTAAAATATAGCTATAACTTTACCTTTGTCTATTCCTATTTGACAATTAAACTTGTATTTTTTTATTTGCTTTGATGAGGTTTTATTCATTCACTCATCTAACAAATGTTTATTGAGCATCTACTATATACCTAGCAGTCCTGGACGCTGAGCATATAATACCAAACAAATATACAAAAATACGTGCCATTGTATTTACATTCCAGAGACCATAATAAAAATAAAATAACTGTATGCCAAAACATTCCTGTTCCCATTTTCTTATTTTTGTTCATTCAAAAAAGAAAGATAGAGTTTCAAAAAAAATTTTTTTAATTCAACTGTCTAAATATACTATTTCATTATTTCATGTGTAATTCTTTAAGGCAAAATATGCAGGCTTAGTGGACATCTGTATTTATTCTTTTGTAAACTGCCTATTCATGGTGTTTTGGGCTTCTTTTCTATGTTTTTCTAGTGATTTTATCTTTTTGTTATTTTTCTAAAGAGCTTCACAATTAAGTTCAGTAATACTTGGTCATACATGCTGCAAAATATTTTTCCAAAATATTATTCATGATAAATAGAGCATAGGAACTTCACAAATCTGTACATACCGTATTGTTGCAAAACCAGATAATGTCCCCTTCATTACCAGTATAGAAAAGTATTGATCCACCCTCTTTCCTCCAGTGTTGATCAGCTATTAGGTACCGCTGTTTAAAAGTTTTCTCATTGTTAAATCCAAAATGATCAATCTATGACAAAAACAAAACAGACAAGACACATATTTCAAAGAAAAGTAATTAAATGAAATAAACAAGAAAATAATTAAATTTTTGTTAAAATCCACCTAAGGTACAAAAATTATACTTCATTTGATTTTACTATTAGTAGCAATACTGATACTGTTATTTTTTATATTGTAAGATGAAACAAAATTATTTTCTTTATATTGCAAGATAGCAATGTTGGTGTAGTCAAGATTTTCAGTATAAGAGAAAAGATCCTATCTAATAAAAGATAAATATGCAAATTGACCATATGCCACAAGCCACACCCACCAGCCAATCAGGAGTGGGTATGCAAATTAACCACCAAGATGGCTTCAGCCACTGAGAGAGCAGGAGGCTTTGGTTTCCTCAGCGATGGAGGAAGCCAAGTTTTCTGCCCCCTCTGGCCGGCCCTAGATTCCATTCAAGGCTGCAAAGTTTCAATTATAGAAGATAAATAAATCCCAGCAAAAATGGTGGTAGCCATGGAGCTGAAGAGAGCAGGAGGCTTGAGTTGTCCCCAGAGATGGGACATGGCTACTGAAATCCAGAAGAGGATCCTACAGAGCCAGCTGCCCTCAGATGAGGGGCACAGGCAGCTTGAGTCAGCCTGCAGGGAGGAATCCAGAGAAATGAATACCCTGATGGTTCTCTTCTTCCCCTCTGGCACCAAGAATATAAACTTCCAGCTAAGGTCGATACATAAACGTAGTTTCTTTCCAAATCCTAATGGCTTAGAATACTAGGGGCATTGTGCCCTCTGCTGTTGAGAATTGGGACCTACATGCCACTTCCAGCTCTGCCTCCTGAAGTTTTATAAATCACATGAAAAGGGGACAAGGGCCTTCGAAACTATTTTATATGCGTTGCTCAGCTGAAGAAACTAGGCTTAAAGATCAAGTGACTGTCACAAGTCAGAAGCAGAGCTGGAATTTTTAATTAATTTTGTAATTTGGTTTATGTGGTCTAGGAAATTATAAAGAGATGCTTCCGTTCTTCACCTTGTAGAGGAGAGAAAGGTCCATTAGATGAGTAAGCCAAGTACAAAAAAAAAAAACAAAAAAAAAACATTCTTTAAATAAAGTTTATTGTGACAAAAATAACAATCCAGACTTTAAAACTCAAAAATCAAGTCCACATACAGAAAAGCCTATGAGAACATTACATCTGGTAGACAGTTTTAGTGGCAATTTTGAAGCAACAGGGATAAGGGGGACAGAGCACCTACTATGTGCCTGGCACCATGCAGGTGCTTTCCACAGATCACTCATCATCCTCCCAGTCACTCTCTGGGGCACCTTCATTATGCCAGTATTACAATAATCAAGTTAAAGCTCAAAAAGGTCAGATAACTAGACCAAAGTAACATCCTATATAATTAAAGGGTAATATGCAAATCAACTAAACAACGGAAGGACCAGTCACTATGACACACACTGTGGGTTCCAAACAGGAACGAAAATTCTATGAAATCAAAATACTGTCTACTCTACAGCAGAGGTGGATACCCTGCCCTGGAAAACACTGAAATGTTCCAGTAAATCAAGAAGTAACATGTTTTGTCAAATAAGAGTACAATGTTTCATCAGATAAAGATTCCGGTATCACCTGCTGATTAAACAACTCCAAAAAGCACCACATGTTCAAAAATCTCCGACTTTTGTGCCACCAGAATTACCTGGTTTCAACATAAGCTCCCAAATTAGAGATAAAGTGCCAGTTATGAAACACATAAATATTACATCATAAAAGTTTGGCCATCAGAGGGCGCTGTAGTATAAGAAATAAAGTAGAGATTTAAATAGATTCGTAGTATTTTAGGACAGGAAGGGAACTTAGATATTCAGTACAAACTCTGAAATGAAAAAACTGAGATCCAGAAATGCCAATTATTTTAAATCTTTCTTTTTAAAATAAAGATATATTCATATCATTCAAATATGGCATTCATCATCATTTTTAAAGTCGGGGATTAAAATTTATCCTGTTAGGAATCAGGATAGTAGTTATCCTTGCAGGGGGAAAGTGACTCTTAAAAAAAAAATGAAGGGATTCTGAAGTTAAGATAGTGCATTTTTCAATATGTATAATAAGATAATTAATAAATAGCTTTGAGATGAAGAGAGAAACCAAGATGGCGACATAGGTAAATGCCTAACTGCAGCCTCATACAACAATTTCAAAAAAATACAACTAAAATACAAAATGGACATTATCCAGAACTACAGGAAAGTTGACTGACTGGAAATTCTACAACTAGAAGGAAAGAGAAAACTAGAAGAAAAATCAGAGGAGCTGTAAAAGCCTAAGGTGTGGAGACACAGTGCATGCGGGGAGAGGAAGGAGCCGGAGAGGATGGGGAGGCTGAGTGCCCGGCTGGCGTTCCCTAGTGGGAAGGAGATAAAAGCTCCGGACTGTGCTAAACCCCAGTTCCGACAGCACTGAACCCCAGTTCTGGGCGAGACCCTGGGGACCCAGGCTCATATGAGGGGAGTCTGAGATATAAGGCGGAAACTCAGGGGAGCAGCAAAAGGCAGTCCCGGAGGCGCGAACATTTCGCACAGAGGACAGACTGTTGACTCTGCTGCTAGATTGCCCTAGCGGGAAGGAGACAAAGGTTCCAGACTGCGCTGAGGCCAAGTTCCAACTGCACTGAACCCCAGTTCTGGGTGAAACCCTGGGGACCCAGGCTCATACAGAAGGAGTCTGAACTATAAGGCGGAAACTCAGGGGTGCGGCAAAAGGCTGTCCCAGAGGCACGCACATTGCGTGCAGAGAACAGACTGTTGACCTAAGCCAAGGCTGTAGGCTCCACCCTGAAACTCCACTCCATCCAAGCTGAGCATAGAGGCTTTTGAAATTTTCCAAGTCTAGTCGAATAAGGCTGTCTCCTGGCATAGACACAGCTGATCCTCACAGCCAATTGGCCTGGAGATCAGTTCCTCCCAGTGATACCAGCAACAATTAAGACTTAACTACAACAAGGCTATACAAACAGTCTACAAAAGGGGGCACCAAGAGTGTCCACCTCAGGTAACTGGGAGGCTGACCCATTGAACCATATAGGACACCTAGCACACAAAGCCACCCTACCAACTCAGGGAAGCAGCCAAGATAAGGAAACAGAACACAAATGAAAGAAATGGAGGACAAAAGATTGAATATAGAGTTCAAAACCACGCTTTTAAGGTTTTTCAAGAATTTCCTAGGAAAGGCAGATAAAATAAATGAGACCTATGAGGATATGAAAAGGGATCAACTAGAAATAAGGGGTCAACTAGAAATAAAGAATATAATGTCTGAAATAAAAAATATTATACAGAGTCCTAAAAACAGAATGCAAGATCGCAAGAATCAAGTCAAAGATTTGGAACATAAAGAGCCAGAAGATACTCCTCCGCAGAAGCAAGAAGACAAGAGAATCCAGAAAGTTGAAGATAATGTAAGAAACCTCTGGGACAACTTCAAGAGAGCAAACATCAGAATTATGGGGGTCCCAGAAGAAGACAGAGAGCAAGATACCAAAAACATACTGTAAGAAATAGTGACAGAAAACTTCCCCCACGTGGGGAAAGAAATAAACTTACAAGTCCAGGAAGCACACAGAACCCCAAACAAAAGGAATCCAAAGAGGACCACACCAAGACACATCATAATTAAAATTCCAAGAGCAAAAGACAAAGAGAGAATATTAAAAGCAGCAAGAAAAAAGCAGGTAGTTACCTATAAAGAAGCACCCATACGATTGTCAGCTGACTTCTCAACAGAAACCATGCAGGCCAGAAAGGAATGGCAAGAAATATTCAAGGTGATGAACCTACAGCCAAAATTACTCTACCCAGCAAAGCTATCACTCAGAATCGAAGGCCAGATAAAGAGCTTCACAAATAAAAATAAAAAAAGCTAAAGGAGTTCATCACCGCCAAACCAGAATTATATGAATTGCTGAATGGGGTTCTTTAGGAAGAAGAAGAAAATAAAGATAAAAATTATGAACAACAAATACGTAACTATCAATAAGTGAATCTAAAAACCAAGGGAATTTAAAAAATCTAATGAGCAATATTAACTGGTGAATATAATAGAATCAGAGGTATGGAAGGGGAGTGAACTGACGATTCTCAGGGAAAAGGGGAGTGGTAGGGTGCCGGAAGAGACTAAACATAAACTGTGCACCTATGGATGAGGACAATGGGGGGTGGAAAAGAGCAGATGGTGAGGTGGGAACCTGGTGGAGGGGAGCAATGGAGGGGGGAAAATGAGGAACATTTGTAATAATATGAACAATAAAGATTTTTTTTTTAATAGCAGTGTTACTATTTAAGCTTTCCTTTAAGACATATTTCAGCCCTAACTGGTTTGGCTCAGTGGACAGAGCTTCAACCTGTGGACTCAAGGGTCTCAGGTTTGATTCCGGGTTCAATTCCAGTCAAGAACACGTACCTAGGTTGTGGGCACATACCCTGTAGGTCGTGTGCAAGAGGCAGCTGATCAACGTCTCTTTCTCATCCATGTTTCTAACTCTATTCCTTTCCCTTCCTCTCTGTGAAAAAATATCAATAAAATATATTTTTAAAAAGATATATTTAATACTTTAAGATTTCTTTTATAATATACATATGGTGTCTAGATTTATATTTCACTATAGTCAACCGTAAATTATATTGCTCCAAGTCACATCTATATTAAATGTTTCTTTCATTTAAAAAATATGTATTGAGGAGAGGGATCCAAGATGGCTGCTCAGGTAGACACCTAACCACAGCAGCACATAACAATTTCAATGGAATACAACTAAAATGTAGAGTGGACATTGTCCAGAGCTACAGATAGTCGACTGACTGAAAATTCTACAACAAGAAGGAAAGAGAAAACCAGAAGGAAAATCAGAGGAGCTGAAAAAAGCCCAAGGTATGGAGACATGCTGCGCGTCCGCATGCGCATGTGCGCTGAGAGGTTGCAGCCGGAGAGGAGGAGGAGGCTGG